GAAGGGAACAATCAACAAAATTAAAAGTCAGCCTCCTGAATAGAAGATATTTACAAATGACATAACCTGATAAAGGGCATCCAAAATCTGTAAAAAACAAACAAACAAACAAACAAACTTATTAACCAAATTCAATACCCAAAAAACAAGTAACCTAGTTAAGAAATGGACAGAAGACATGAACAGACATTTTTCTAAAGACATCCAGATGACCAACAGACACATGAAAAGATGCTCAACATCACTCATAATCAGGGAAATACAAAGCAAAACCACAATGAGATACCACCTCATACTTGTCAGAATGGCTAAAATTAACTCCAGGAAACAACAGATGCCGGTGAGGATGCAGAGCAAGGGAACCCTCTAGCACTGTTGGTGGGGATGCAAACTGATGCAGCCAGTTGGAGGTTCCTCAAAATGTTAAAAAAAAAAACAAAAAAAAAACAAAAAAAAAAACTACCCTATGATCTAGCAATTGCACCACTAGGTATTTCCCCAAAGGATACAAAAATATAGATTCAAAGGGATACGTGAACCCTGATTTTATAACAGCGTTATCAACAATAGCCAAACTATGGAAACAACCCTAGTGTCCATCAATTGATGAATGGATAAAAAAGATGTGGCCTATATATACAATGGAATATTATTCAGCCATCAAAAAAACCCGAAATCTTGTCATTTGCAACACTGTAGGTGGAGCTAGAGTGTATTGTGTTAAGTGAAATAAGTCAGAGAAGGACAAATATACGATTTCACCCATATGTGGGATTTAGGAAACAAAACAGATGAACATATGGGATGGGGAAAAAAGAGGGAAGAAATCATAAGAGACTCTTAATGATACAGAATAAATAGGGTTGGTGGAAGAGAGGTAGGGTGGGGATGGGGTAAATGGATGATGGGTATTAAGGAGGGCACTTGTGATGAGCACTGGGTGTTATATGTCAGTGATAAATCACTAAATTCTGTTCCTGAAACTGATATTACACTATGTGTTAACTAACTAGAATTTAAATGAAAATTTGGAGAAAAAAAAAAAACCCACAGGACAAGGGATAAGCTACGATTTCACAAAAAGTCAAATGAGTGTGCTTAAGTAAAACAAGTTTGGCATTTGGAAAGGTGAACTAGTTATATAGAAATATCACTTACATGCAAAACTTCCGGTCTCAAGGGTGTCAAATTAATAAATCTGTCCATCCCTTGAATTTTTTTTTTAGCTTTTACTTGAGTGTCTCTGTTTTTAAAATGAGATAGCTGCATTGCTGAAGATGGGCTGCTTTCCCCCAAAGATTTAATTGTGATTTATGTGAAACCAGAGAATCAGATCCTTAAGAATGGGGGCTTGCCTTCTGCATTCTTACTGGTTTATGGACTTCTTTGCTGACAGTTTTTTGGTCATCTTGAACTGTTTAATTCTTTCTTGTTCATTTTAGGTTCTAGTGTTTTGTTTTTTGTTTTGCAAAATAGGAAATGCAGTAGTATATTTCTATCCAGTGTTGCTCTTTATTTAGAATGTCCTTTTAATAAATTCTTTGGTTTGGGATTATTGGTTTGTATCAGCTTGGATCTCTTGTTTGTGCGACAGAATCTGAACTCACATTAGCGTAGGCACACAAAAAATCCATTGGCTCTTGTGACTGAGAGGTCCACAAGCAGAAGTAGCCTCAGGCTTGTCCTTCAAGTGATCTCCTTGGGACACTCTCTCTCTGCCATTCCACTCCACCAGAGATGGACCTTCTCCATACCTCAACTAGTTAGCCATTGGCGACATTTTCAGAGAAAATTAACCATCCATGCTCCGCAGCAGCTGTGTATTTCTAGGAAAGAGTTCGAATTATTCCTGTTTGGATTATATGCTCACCAATCACTTAGAGTCAAGGCAGGAACAGTTTCCAGAAACAAGAGATGTGAAGCAGACAGAATAATAAATGCTTACAACCTGGTCAAGAGGATTGAGTATTTTTATACCTGTCTCTCTTCCCTCAAAAGGAAATCTGTGTTAAGGATGATGGATTATGCACAGATCAGGTGTGTGGCAGCACATTTAGTATTCCAGTGCCTGAAACGTTGAGAGCTTTGGATCTGCTAATGTTTATTTGCCTGTAGCCAGATAATGGAGCCAGATGTGTTTAAGGCTGCTGTCTACTATCTCTTGACCTTCGTCTGAAATACTTTCTGGTATTGCTATTGAAGAGATTAGTTACTGTTGACGGCGTGTGTTCAGCATACGGTATCACATCATCTGCCCAGGATCTGTGTAGACACTTAGCTCCCGAAAATACTTGAATCATTTCTTAAAGTGTAGCCAGTACTGGGGAAAGCAGTATCAAAGACTGGAGTTTTCCGGAGTGCCTGTGTGGCCCAGTCAGTTGAGCATCCAACTTCGGCTCAGATTATGATCTCATGGTCTGTGAGTTCGAGCCCCGCATCGGGCTCTGTGCTGACAGCTCAGAGCCTGGAGCCTGCTTCGGACTCTGTGTCTCCCTCTCTCTCTCTGCCTCCTTCCTAGCTCATACTCTGTCTCTCTCTCTCTCTCTCTCTCTCTCTCTCTCTCTCTCTCTCTCTAGAAAATTAAATAAACATTAATTTTTTTTTTTTTAATGGGCTTTTTCTGTGAAAGGCGGCATGAAAGAAACATAGTGGGACTGATGGGCAGTGGGGGTGGGGGTGAGCCTCTTCAAATACTGTCAGTGGTAGAGACGGGGAAACTGGGAGGTGATGGGGGAGAGAGGGAGAAGTCAGACGGAAGCCAGATACAAGGATGGGAATAAAAAAGGAGGTAATGGGAGATAGCGCCCCAAGGCTTTGAAGACAGCACTTCCAGGCCACCTGAACTTGATAAGATCAGAGGAGTTGCTGAAATTTGTTTTCTCTTGACAGGTTAAGCTCATTTGGGGAGGTGCTTTTTTTTTGTTGTTCTCTTTTGTGTTCTTTTGTTCTCCAAAATTTCTTCCCATTCTAATTTTCAAGAAACATCTCTAGGTGTTTGTTTTTTAATAAGGCTTAAATCAGTGTTTATGTACACCTGTAATGTTTGCATACATTTTTCCATGGCTAACGTTCAGTCATATTGAAATGTGTAAGGGGGTGTCCATTTTTAGTCTTTCACTTGTTTCACCAAGTCACAAGTTTGATACACAAGTTTTGGCACACAGGAAGAGGCTTTGGTATTGTGTATTGGGGCTTAGATTTAGCCAGATTAAAAAATTGTTAGCCAAGATTCTTAAAAAAAAGCAATAACAAAACAGCAGGTTCCACGTCTGGCTCTTGTGTGCACACCAGGGCCCTTCCCAGGAAGCCCGCAGCCCTGGGGGTTGTGTCCTGGCCCCAAGGACCCTGCTCACCCCCTCACACATTTACGTGCACCTGCCCTCATTACATGAGGAATTGAGATTGGGGTGACGTGGTTTTTAAAAGTACCCCCCAATGGGACTAGAAGAATTCTATCTACTTTTGCAGCGGTAGGAGGAAAAAGACCTCACGGTTTCGTTGTCCTTGTAATGACCTCAGGACAGCTGTCATGCTCACAGAGTTCTCAGTGCTTGCGACCTGCCCCCGGAGCCCCCTTCCTAGCCTCTCTGGACAGAAGTCCAGGACCATGCCATTCTGTGACTGACAGACAGTAAACTAGCATTTGCTTCTAGCATTTTGTAATGAAAAAAAAAATCTCAAACGTAGAAAAATCAAAACCCTTTTCCTTTGAACACCATCAACCTACCATGTAGATTCTATAAATAACATTTTGCTCTGCCTGCTTTATTGCATTTTCATGCATCAGTCCATCTTAGTATTCTTAATGGGTTTCAAAATAAATTAGTATTTGGAGTTTTTTTTTTCTTTAACCTTTTATCATTAGATGTGAATCCTTAATCCTTGTTCTAAGGATTTCAGGCATCATTACGCAAGCGTGGGGAGAGTTCACTGGCAAGAACAGTTCTCGCCATATGGTGGGTGTTCAGTAAATATTTGTTAAGTGAGTGCAGTTCCATTAGTCCTATTTGACTAGCCCTGTGCATATACTTGAACTTGCTACTTGGGACAGTTACTTTGAAAGTAAACCCTATGTTTCCTAAGTACATGTTATCCCCAGTTTATGATGGACCTTCTTTTAGGAGATAATCCACGAAAGACAAATATTTAGAATTTGAAGCACATTAAAAATGTATATTCACTAAATACTACAAAAGTATGTAAAAGACATGTTTTTTACAACACTGATTGTCTTGGAATATGTGCGTGGCAGAATTCCTGGGAATTCTGCACAGCTGCTTACGTCAACCAAAACAGCTTCCCTTTGGTCAGTTTTCCATGAAGTTACGATTTTATTGCAGGGAACGTTTGCAAACCACAGCTGTTAGGTTACCTGGCCAGTATGCACAGCCCCGTGTAGATCACTGCATAGTAGGAAGTATCTGAAATTCTGAGTTCAGTTGGCCAGGGGTACTGCATTATTAAAATTCATCCCAGTGGCTCTAGATAAAGCATAGTGAACATTTTCACTGCCAGGGAATAATCTAAACCTGTATGAATCTTACGTGTGTGTGTGTGTGTGTGTGTGTGTGTGTGTGTGTGTGTGTGTGTTCCTTCAGTCCCTGAGAGTGAGTGGGCCCAGAATGAACGATATCTCTATTTCCACTTCTCACCTCTTTAAAGAAAAGGTGTGCTTCCTACCCCTCCCCACCCCCCACCCCCCACCCCCGCCGATGAAACAAGTGTATTTTGAGAACACCTTGGGGGCTGATCTCTAAATGCAGCGTGGGCCACCCTTCTTCTTTCCAAAACAGAGTAGGGGCTCTCATTCTTGGTGTCCTTTTTCCTCACAATAGGGCTGATGAATCATTTTGGTGATATGTCTTCCTTTATTTCAAAATAACCACAGCCACGAAGTGTTTGTTCATTACCAGCATGTTTACAAAGTGGACAATAAAGGTTTTTTTTTTACTGTTAAGTTTATGTTTGTAACTTCCTCTGCTTGTCTCTATTCCCAATAGGCTCGGGTTATGTATGATTTTGCTGCTGAACCTGGAAATAACGAACTGACGGTTAATGAAGGAGAAATCATCACAATTACAAATCCGGTAAGACAACTATTAGGTTTAAACCTGATTGTCTCTTAAGGATTTAATAAATTGATCATTCACACCGACACGAATTTTTTTTCTGGTGCTTATGAAGTATTGATGATGAAGTAAGACTCTATTTTATAAACATTGATAAAAGTTAAGTCCTCTAAAGGTAGTTGGATGGGGTTCCATCACACAGAAATGGAAAGAGACATCCCAGCCAGATCCCAGCCAGATCACAGGTACAGAGATTAGAACGTATTCAGTGTTTCTTGGAAGTCACAGCTATTGTTGGTCGACAGCCCTACGAGCCAGATGTTTGGCTGATACTACACGTGTATTCTTGAATGTGTTTTCCCCATGAACTCCATGAGCTAAGGACTTTTCATCTCTGTTTTACAAATGAGGGTAATGAGACCTAGAGGTTAAGCAACTTGCTCAAGATCATTTTGCCTGTAAGTGGCGGGGCAAGGATTCAAAGCCACAGCTGTTGAGCCTCTGAGCCTCTGCTCTTGCTCTCTGCTGGGAACACTACATGTAAACAAGGGTTCCCAAGGGTGCAGGGTACACGTAGGCCAGTAGCAGACAGGCTAAGAAAACTGGCTCTTAGCCAGATGGGATAGGACCTGTGGGCCAGGCTGTAGACCTTGGGCTTCATCTGTAAGTAGTGGATTCTTTTAAGAGCTTTGCTTGGTTTTTATTGTTGATGCTGTCGTAGGCAGGTGGCAAGATGACACCTGCACTTCAGGGAAATTAACCTAGCAGAGGTGTGTTGAACGAACTGGTGTGGCTGGAGTCTGGAAATGCGCCTTTCGGCGGTAGCGACAGGAGTTGGAAAAAGCTAGACACGGCAGGCTTTGTGGAGTCAGTCCCAGAGGACTTGGTGTCAGGTTAGATACTGGTGGGAGAAAAGAGGCAAGGATCCATAAGGTTTTTGGCTCTGACCTTTAACCTAAGAGAATGGTAGATTTATTAAAGTATACGAGTCATGAAGAAGAGCTTCTTTGGAAAGGTTAAATGAGTTTCTTGTTGGATGTGTAGAGTTTGAAGAAAAGCGAATAATTAGCCCTTCCCTATAGCTTTGCATCATAAAAATGGAAATGCCGAGCTGGGGGTAAGAGCTGGGAATAGGCCAGCTCCCTGGACACCTCAGGGAGTAGCCTGTGAGGAAGGTTGCCAGGACAGCCGAGAGGCACTGGGAAGGAAAGGGGGAGATGCTGGGGCTCCCCCAGGTGGGAGGGACCGAGGGCAGCACGGAGACCAGGGACAGAGGACAGCGAATGAGCAAGAGAATGATGGCTTCTTAATATTGGTACTGTTTTCAAAACTTGTCCTCTGTGCTTTAGATACAAAAAAGAATCACTGGGTAGGAACAGTATATGAGCTTTAGATAATACACCAGGTGTAGATAAGTACCTAGGTCCTATTTTTAATCATAGGAGAAATTAAAGATTCTTTACCCTTCTGATTTTTCTTAATGGAGAAATCATCTTAATTTCTTGGTAAAGTAGTATTGAATTTAAGTTGCTGTCATGGTTACAAATGGATGAAGTTGTGGCTTAAAGTGATTTTTGAAGAAGAATGTGTTACCTAGATTCAGGTATTAACGAAGACACGATTTATAAACTTGACAACTCTTACTATTATAAGGTGAAAAGGTAGGTCTTTGTTGAGATAATAGATTGGAAAGTGGGAATTCTGGTATAGAGGACTTTATTATTTAATATTGTTTATCCAGAAGAGCTAAGGAACCATGGATCGGTTAGCTTTTCCTAAAGAGCAGGCAATCTCAAAGCTTAGTGGCTTAATCGAAAAACCTTTTGCCGCTTTGCTCAAGAATTTATGGGTTGGCTGGATGGTTCTACTGACCTGAGATGCCTCTCCTGTCTTCAGTCACCTGGTGGGCAGCTCTGGGCCAAGTGCTTTAACCTGTGCTCACGCATGTGCCTGGCGATTCCCCTCCTGGTGGCTGACTTTGGTTGGGGCTACAAGGAAATTGGGCCTTTTTTTGTCATCATCCGGCAACCCAGATTATTCCCACAGCAGCTCTTTTGAAAAAAGTGTGCAAAGCCCCTTGAGGCCAGACTCTGAACTCACCCCGTATTATTTCCACCTCATTCTGTTAGCCATAGAGGTCACCAAGCACATCACGGCTTCCAGAGGGGGTGGTATCCTTCTGCCTCTTGACAGTCGGAGCTGCGAACCATTTTTATAGTCTGCCACCAACCGATAAATAGAAAGGAATTACGCAATGATGGCATTCTGTTCTGTTGAATGGGCTACTTTGCAATCTTCATTACTTGTTTAATGTTTTCAGATTATATCATTTTCTAAAGTAAAAGAGAAGCCTTGGGAATTTAAAACTTTGAACAGTGTTAGATCGGTGGGAATAAAGAGCTTAACGTTAATTATTTTTTCCTGTATGACAACTCCCGAAGCAAAATTTTGCAGGCAACTCCAACTGTAATCTTGGTCTTTTTTCTTTTCTCTTTTTAAACGTTACCAGGATGTTGGTGGAGGATGGCTAGAAGGAAGAAACAGCAAAGGAGAACGAGGGCTTGTTCCCACAGACTATGTCGAAGTAAGAACTTATTGTCACATAGTAAAACCTGGTCTTTGTCAAACGTCTTTTTATGAATTATGGAAAGTAGCAACTTTATTTCTAATCAGAAAGTTTCCACTGTAAAAGTAATACCTGGTAATTCTGTAAAATACGAACGATACATTGAAGTAGAACTAAGAAAAAATATTACCTATAGACCTGTGCTCCAAAGAGTGACTCCATATTTAGATTAAGTTCCTTTTAGGGAGAGCAACTTTTAATTACTCTGAATAAATGCCCCTATTTTTCCTGTGTTTATATTGTGTAATAGCTGCTGCTGCCTATAATGCTGTTTACATTACAGAGTTCATTCACAGAGTTTAAAAAGATTTTTTTTTTTTTGAAGTAGTTCTCTTCTCTCTGTGCTGGTTTCGGACATATCTCTTCAGTTCCTTCTCCCCGTTTCCATAGACAGAGGGTCTTGGATGAACTAACTTCTGGGACCTATTGCCTGGTTTTAAGCTGTATTCCCATAGATGCCAAGGATAGCGTTACAGCATCTGGGAGGAGCCTCCCTGCCTGGGACACACCCACTCAGCTGACCACCCGCCCCCCCAGCCCACCCTGAGCCAGCCTCCTGGCGCCCCCTGCTGGTTGTCTGTAGGTCACTCAGAATTGAGTCCTGGGAACTGAGCTTGCCTTTCCACTCCGGTGACTGAAACGAAGGTGGCCTGGTGCCCTGGGAGTAAAACTGAACAAGAACAAGGTGCCTATGGTTCCCCTCCAGCAGAGAGGAATAATGCCCTGGGAGGATGTTTGCCTGGGCACTGCCTGCCGAATGGGAAGACTGTCTGTCTGTTGTTCTGATCGAGGGTTGGGGTGGGGAGTTTTGAACCCTCTGGAGAATCCGATGAAATCTGGGGCCCTTCTCTCGGAAATATGTGCACGTGCGTCTACCCCAACCTCTTCTGTAGAGTTCCACAGGGTTCACGGGCCCCTGGACTCAGTCCACCTGTCTTATACTTATGTTGTGCTTTACCTCGGTGCACTGTGTATTCAGGACTCTAAAAATAGACAAGAATGAGAAAAATCTAAGGATTTAAGTTAGTGCTGGCATTAATTGCATTTTCTAGAACTCTGCATACTTCTAGAAAGGGATGGTTAATACAGACGTTCTGGGGCTTGCTTACCTTTTAAAAATAGAAACCCCTTTTCCATAATAGATGACAACTCTTGCTTGCCCTCAGACTCTAACTCTGAGATAACCCTAATCTATGAAAGTAACTGTGGTTCTTTCTAATACTCAGATTTTGCCCAATGATGGAAAAGACCCATTTTCTTGTGGAAATTCAGTGGCCGACCAAGCCTTCCTCGATTCTCTCTCAGCGAGTGCCGCTCAGGCCAGTTCATCAGCTGCCAACAGTAATAACCAGGTGAGTCTTCCATCATCTGGCTGGACTGAGCACAGCGCATTTGTGAGAGCTTGTGATGCCTCCGAGCCATTGCCATCCCCGGAAAGCATAAACAAAATAGCTGTTAGATGTGTGTGTGGCGTTTCTGTTGGGTATTAACAAAGAACTTGCCTGTTAGGCGGGCTAAACACTGTTTTTAAAGATGATTATAAGAGAGAATGCAGGGTGTTCATTGAGAGTTGCTTTTAAAAGTCTGGCATGGGGGCGCCTGGGTGGCGCAGTCAGTGAAGCGTCCGACTTCAGCCAGGTCACGATCTCGCGGTCCGTGAGTTCGAGCCCCGCGTCAGGCTCTGGGCTGATGGCTCGGAGCTTGGAGCCTGTTTCCGATTCTGTGTCTCCCTCTCTCTCTGCCCCTCGCCCGTTCATGCTCTGTCTCTCTCTGTCCCAAAAATAAATAAACGTTGGAAAAAAAAAAATTTAAAAGTCTGGCATGATAAGAACACGGACCTTGTAAGGTACAAATATCCTCTCAGGTGGGGAAAGAAAAGCAGGGTCCTGTGCTGAGGTGATCTGTGTCAAAACTCCGGCTGAAACAGGAGACGATTTCTCAGACCTTGACATGGTCGTTACACTCTCAGAGCCCCCACGTCTTGTGGACACTACACGTGTAACAGTGGCTGCAAATCCAGCACTTAGCACTCGGTATCTTGTATTGCTTCTAGAAAACTTACAATAGTGGGATGATTTGGGAAAAATACACTGAAATTCTACGTTGATTTTAAGGAAAGTTTGACCAGTTCAGGTGACTCTGCCTAGTTATTGTAAAATGATTACCTTGGGCGAGTGTCAGCAGGAACAGTCAGAAGATGGACATCAAAATGTTACCCTTCCTAAATCTTTAGAAGCAACTCGGCTTCAGGGGATGTTATTTCGTGATACTCTTTAACTACGAAAAAGGTTTTGAATTATGTGAAGCCTAATAGTCGTATCACTTGAGAATTATTTGCGTACAGAATGTTTATATTTTAACCTTCCAAGAGAATTTCTCAAAGTGCTATTACCATATGTTAACTGCAGGTTTTACACATTTTTAGATAGCTTTTGATGGACATTCTGAGTTACAACTTAGTCTGACCCAAATACTTAAAATTCAGAGGCAGAGTGATCACCACAGTTGAGCATTTGCCTGTATTTTTTAACTCTGTAATACCTGAGGACCCTGGGCAGTTAAAGACTACGCAAGATAAAATGTGAGACAGTAGTAGTTAGGGGCACCTGGGTGGCTCGGTTGAGTGTCCCACTTGATTTCAGTTCAGGTCATGATCCCGGGATCGTGGGATCAAGCCCCGTGTTGGGTTCTGTGCTGAGTGCGAAGCCTGCCTAAGATTCTCTCTCCTCCTCCTCCTCCTCCTCTCTTTGCCCCTCTGTCCTGCTTGCACTTTCTCTCTCTCTCTCAACAAAATAAAATAATATTTTTTAAACTGTGAAGCCATGGTAGTTAAACCTTCCTTGAAGTTTCACCAGGGATTCTCAGTGCGAGCACTGTTGACCTCTGGGGCCTGAGCTTCAGGTTGTGATGTTTAGCAGCACCCCTGGCCTTGATTCACTACATGCCAGTAACATCCCGTTGCCCTCAGTTGTAACAACCAAAATTATCTGCAGATGTTGCCAGACGTCCCCTGGGCGCAAAGTCAACCAGCTGAGTTCACTGAGTTAGACACAAACATCAGGGAAATGGGTTTGCACTGAGTAAAAGACAACATTTTAATAAAAGGGAATGATGTTCAGATGATCGTAGAATAAATGAAGGAAACAAAAGATGGAAATATTCATCTTATTTTTTTTTTAATTTTTTTAGTGTTGAGAGAGAGAGAGAGAGAGAGAGAGAGAGAGAGAATATCCCAAGCAGGCTCCTTGCTGTCAGTGCAGAGCTGGACGTGGGGCCCAGACACACAAACCGCAAGACCATGACTGAGCCGAGATCAGAGTCGGATGCTCAACCGACTGAGCCACCCAGGCGTCCCAGTTCGTCTTATTTTAATTCAAGGACCTACATCAACCATTATCTCAGGATAGGCTGAAGCACTCTGCACACAAAGTTGCAGTGAGGCTCCAGTCTTGTCCTGTTGTGAAATAGCTTCCTCGGTGTTTAAATGTAGCAATACAGACGGATTAGCATAAGTATAAATGTTTTTTCTTCCAGGTTATTTAGAAGAAAATATAACCACCTTTTCGAAGTTGGATTTTACTAATCCATTCGGACATACTAAATCTAGCCAGATCCTTTGAAAGCAAAGAAAATGTGAACTGAAACTAGAAGTAACAAAATAAAGCAAGCATGACCATAATTAACTGAGCATTTGGATTTAATTTAAATCAAGTAAAAATATTTTTAATAACCGTCTATGCTTTCGGTTATCTGGGATAGGAAAATAACTTAAATAGGCCAAAATGGTGATGATGTTCATACATACCATGAAAACTGTCCTGACCAAGAAACCAGGCAGCCATTATCAATTAGTAGCTTTTAAAACTTTTGCTGTCGGGTTTACTCATTCTTTCATTTTCTGGATGTCAATGAGAAAATACTGTTTTTCCCAGGGATGTGCCTCTTGGGATTTTCTAATTACTCTGGCACTGTGTTCTCTCCCAGAGGTCAGTCTTATTTGGAGGACAAGTATGTCAGAGGCGCCGGCTCTCTCTGTCCCCCGGTCAGGCCATGCAGGGCACACCCCCTGTCCCCTCCGCACACCGTTCACTTCCGAACCAGCATCTGTCTGCTGTCCTCGGCACCGATGATTTGAAATTTGGCTTTCTTCCCACACACGCAGATTAAAGCCCTGCATTTAGCTCCTGGTTATCCAACTTTCTGACTGTTGTATCTTTCCTCTAAATCGTGTATCTTTTTTTTTTTTTTTAATCTCTCTAAAAGGTTCTATCCGTCTGCAGATCTCCTTGAATAGCTTATTTTGAGCCTGCTATTTTTTAATCTGTCTGACCCTTCCTTGACTTTGTATTCTTAATCTGTCCTACATGTCAGAGTAATTAGTTCATAAATTTGTAATTTAATATGTAAAAAGCACTTCCTTGGGTTTTTCTTAAAACTCCTCATTTCAGGGTGCTTGAGGTACCTTCTGGTTCTAGCTGCTTACTGAGCAGCTGCAGAGGTCATGCAGTCACTGGTGTAGAGGAGAGAACAGGGTACTTTTATCACAATGACCCACGGTGATCTTTTTCTCCCTTTACTAGTTCATGGGGGGATCCCTTATCTGTAAAACATAGTCCAGTTGTTGGTTGTGGTATAGACTAGGATTGGAAATGTCAGAGGAATATGATGCAGTATTCTTTAAATGTGTTGGGACAATTTAGCTTGGAAAACGGTAAAGCTGTTTATTTTTTAAGTACTTGGAGAGAATATCAATGACATTTTTTCCATAACCTTGGAATATGGCAAGACAGCACAGTGTCTTGCAGCCATTAAGGAAAGAATGGATGCATTTAAGTAAAAAAGTAATACTAAACTAGAAAAATATTGCCCACATACTACAGAAACCGGCTAATTCTGTTAACATACAAAGAATTCTTGCAAATCTATAGAAATAGATGAACAGCTCAGGAGAAAAAAAAATGAGCAAAGGGTGGGAACAGATTTTTCATTGGAAAAGTAGTACAAACAGCCAATAAATATAGTAAAATACTCATTTTTAGTGTCTGCTATTAAATTAGCAGAGAATTAAAATGTTTTAATACCCCATGTGAGGAAAGGAATATGCCGATAGGCATTCTGCTACAAAGGTGGGGGAAGGATACATTAACGAAGCCTTTTGGAAGACAGTTTGGTAACATGCATTAATATTTAAAATGCATCTACTCTGTGCCCCAGCAGTTCTGAGTTTACTTCTAGAGCTCCTCTTGGGACTCAGCCACGTGGGCTGCAGATTCACCGTGCGAGGTCCAACATGAGGACGTGGGGACACACACGTCTGACCATAGGGACCTGGCCAGGCAGAGCCCAGGGCGGCCACATGGTGGGAAGCACGAGTGTGGGTTTAGATGTACAGGTGTGGACGTCTGTTGTTTTTTAAACAGTTTCTTTTTTTTTTTTTTTATAAAGTTGATTTATTTTTGAGAGAGAGACAGAGTGTGAGTGGGGGAGGAGCAGAGAGAGAGGGAGACACATAGTCTGAAGCAGCTCCAGGCTCCGAGCAGTCAGCACAGAGCCCGGCGTGGGGCTCAAACTCACGAACCGCAAGATCGTGACCTGAGCCGAGGTCGGCCGCTTAACCGACTGAGCCACCCAGGCGCCCCACATCTGATTCTTTTTTAAAAGCACATCAGTAACGTTATCTTTCCCGTGCTTGAGTACGCACACACCACAGATGCAAATTGTGTGTAGAACATTTATTGAAGCATAACCAGGAAATGAATCGAATTCTCATTGTTTTCTTACTCTAATACAGATCTTAAGGTGGATGAGGACCACTATTGCAGTACCTTTAGAAAAGGAGAATAGTTTCTAGTGGTTCATACTAGTTTTGTTACTAGGGACTTATCTGGTATTTTCCAGCTGCAAGAGCGTTTCATGTGGCAGCTGTGCCACCAGCTGCCATTCAGAGACGTGTGGGGACAGTCGCCCCAGTCTTGGTTTTCACCCAGTGATCAGTGTTGCAGTTACACCATTGCTTTGATTCTGAGAAGCTTCTCACTGTAGATCTTTACAAACCTCGGAGGTGGCTGCTTCTGTGGAGTATTTACTTTTGAGAAATTAATGGGAAGTTTTGTACTCAATTTTTTAAGTTTTTTTATTATTATTTGTTTTGAGGGGGAGGGGCAGAGAGGGAGAGAGAATCCCAAGCAGGCTCTGCACGAGTCAGCGCAGAGCCCAACGTGGGGCTTGAACCCACGAACTGTGAGATCACGACCTGAGCTGAAATCAAGAGTCAGACGCTTAACCTACAGAGCCACCCAGACGCCCCTGTACTTTCTGAAGAAGAACAATAGGGATTACACGTGAATTAAAA